CCCTGCAGCCGCTTTCGGGCCCAGGCCACATGCGCGGAGCGCGCGAGGCCACACGCTCGGGCGGGCAGCGCCAGCGGAACCCCCGACGGCGCCCCCCCCCCCCCCGAGGAAGGCAAGGTGCCGGTTGGCCCTCCCCCCCCCCCGCGGGCGGCCGCGCCCTCCCGATGCAGGGCGCCCCCCCGGGTTGGGCTTCGTCGTGGCCCAGGCGCGGGGGCTGGGCAGCTACGAGCCGCAGCCCAGGCTCGCCGTCGTCGTCGCCGCCGCCGCCGCCGCCGCCGCCGCTGCTATGGCTGCTCCCCGCCTCGGAGGGTTTTGGACGTTTCGGGGCCTTCTCGTCGCCATGGCTGGACCCGGCTCTAGAAACTGGCCCAGACTGACCACGGGTCGGATCGGGAGATCCGAACATGAGTGGATTTTCGACGCCGCAGTCGTCGCCGCCGCCGCCGCTGTCGTCTCGTCGTCGTCGTCGTCGTCGTCGTCGTCGTCGTCGGCGTCGGCGTCGGCGTCGGCGTCGGCGTCGGCGTCGGCGTCGGCGTCGGCGTCGGCGTCGGCGTCGGCGTCGGCGTCGGCGTCGGCGTCGGCGTCGGCGTCGTCGGCGTCGGCGTCGGCGTCGGCGTCGGCGTCGGCGTCATCGTCGTCGTCGTCGTCGTCGTCGTCGTCGTCGTCGTCGTCGTCGTCGTCGTTGTGGCCATGGTGCCCACATCGCACAGCGCAAGGGGCGGGCGGCTCCAACGGCACCCCTGCGCAAGCCTTCCCGACAGCCGGGTGCCCCACTCGAGGACGAAGAGGCTCAGGGGCGAGCGGCGCACCGCGCTGCCGAATATGGGCGACGGGCGAGGGGGGGAGAAGTGAGAAGGAGAAGGCCTTCTCAGAAGGCGGCCGGTCTTCTCAGAAGCCCTCGCGACTTCTGAGAAGTTCTGTGTGTCTTCGAGGAAGGCTTAGAAGCTTTCTTCTCAGAAGGCCAGGGAGCTTCCGAGCCTTCTGAGAAGGCCTTCTCCTTCTCATTTCCCCCCCTCGCTCGTCGCCAACACAGGCTCAGGGGCGAGCGGCGCACCACGCTGCCGAATGGGAAGATCGAACAAAACGGCACGCAAGAGGTGGGCGCGGCTGCAACATATGGAATGTGAGGCCAGCGTCGCAGGTGGAGCAGCCATCGAACAGGCACGGCGCACGAGCATGTTATCTGGCACAGGCGTGCACACACTCGGGCATACAGGTTTCTCGCAAGGCTGGCGCTGCATGCTGGCTCATGCGTTCGCTCAGGCATTTTCGCAATCTCCCCCGCGTCCCGCGAAGCTCGCAGGCATAGCTGGTCACGCCACGCCTTCTGGGACGCGTCCCACCGCCGATGGTATCATGCCGCTGCCCTGGCGATTGTGACCCTGCACGGCTCCTGGCCCAGAGGCAGCCGTGCCGGCTCTTGGCCCCGAGGACGCCGTGCTTCTTTCTGACGTGGTGGTGCGCCCTGACGGGCTGGGCGCCGAAGGAGCGCGCCTCCGGCCGGCCCTTCGTGCGCGCCTTCGGCCGGCCCTTTGGGGAAGTCTTGCCTCCCCCACGCGGCGCCGCCGCCAGCGAGGCCCCCTCCGACCGTGCCCTCGGGCGGGGTGCGCCGTCGGAGCACGGCTCGGGGCGAGAACCGGCCCTGGGGGCCGGGGTCGGGGCGTCTACTTCCAGGGGCCGTGCTCGGAAAAGATGAAGACGTCGCGTGCCCGGGTGCCGCCCGGCGCCTCGTCGTTCTCCTCCCTCCCTCTGCACGGCGGCTGACTTCGCCGAACGCGCCCCGTTTCGCTTTGCTCGCCAGCGCAGTCCCTCTGCCTCGCCGCCGACGCGAAAGCCCTGGGTGTCGCGCAGGCCCAGAGATCCGACGTCGTGATCTTTTCAATGCGGGGTCCCCAGAAGGCTCGACCCACTCCCCAGGACCGGTTTTTCATCCCGCGAGTCGTTTTTAACGGTCCCGGGGCTCGGTGAGGGCCTCTAGAGGCCGAAAACGTAGGAAAACCTTTTGATTTTTTTCTTGACGTTTTTTTTTGTTCAAGATTGATTTTTCTTGATTTTTTATTTCTTGATTTTTTCAAGACGTTGGATCTCTGGGGGTGCCCGCGGCCACGGGAGTGCCCCCCCCCCTGCTGCTCGGCCGCGCCCCGCGGGGCCGAGCTGCCCACCCTCCTCTCGGCCGCCGCGCCCCGGGGGCTCCCGCGGGGCACGAGCCGCTCGCACGCGCCTCTCCGCAGCAGAGCTCCGCCGCGCTCTGGCGTCGCCCTTCCGCTCGCCCCCCCTCTCTTTTCGAGGCAAGAATCCCAGAGACCCAACGTATGGAAAGAATAGCACGGGCGCTCTTCGCAGTTTTCGGCCTCCAGGGGCCCTCACCGGGCCTCGGGACCATCAGAAACCGATTCGAGATGAGAAGCCGGCCCCAGGGAAGGGGTCCAGACGTCTGGGGGTCGAAGTTGTGAAACAATCACGACGTCGGGGGAGGGAGGAGGGAGGAGGGAGGAGACCCACTGCGGGCGAGTCGCGGCGCAGGTGGCACGCGTTCCACCCCGCGCGCAGCGGGTTCCATCCCCCGCTGGCCGGCGAGGGAAGCGGGAAGGGAACCCGCTGCGGGCGGATCGAATTTCGGGGGCCTCGGCAGGCGGTGGATGTGGATAGCTTCGGGCCCCCAGGAGTGCCAAGACATGGCCATTTCCACCGCCCCCTTAGGGCATCACGACGTCGGTTCCCAGGCTGCGGATGTGGATAAATCCCCACCTCGCATTCTCGGCGTGTGGTGTGTGAATCTGGTATCGTTGGCTGCTTTGTCCTCAGGGGATCTTCGCGTGCAGCACGCTCGCTTCCTCACTGTCAGGCCACGGCTCACTGCACGCGAGTTTGCCTGCCGCAGGTCGCCCTGCGTGGGCCTCCCGGTGTGCCCGGCGAGCTGTAGATTCGCTCAGTGGTTGAGGCCGAGTCGTGTCAAGTCATGTGGTCTAGCTCCCCCCCAGGCCTCCATGGGTTGCGACGAAATCAGGACGGTTTCACTATTTTCGGCCTACGGGGGCCCTTACCCGGCCCCGGGAGCGTCCAAAAACGGCTCGGGATAAGATACTTGAGGGGTCCAGACCTCTGGGGGTCAACGTTATGAGAAAATCATGACGTCGGGGGCCTGGGCCTGAGCCTACCCCGGATCGTTTTCGGGGCGTAGCTCGGGCCCCCGGCGGCCGCTCGGGACGATTCGGGCGCCCCCGCCACGCTCTCGGCGAGGTGCAGCCGCTGGACAGCGCCCCGACGCCGGAACGTCGCCAAGACGTCTTTGCGACAACGCCCGGAACCTCTGAGCCTGTCCTCCCCCTGGCGCACCGAGCAGCATATACGAGTCTCCGCCGCGATCTGGCCGTGGCGCAGCGCCCAGGCCGCGCGAGCTTCGCGGCAGGCGCAACCACGGCAGCGCCAGCGCCGGCGACCACGGCCCTCGCGCGGCCGCGTCGAAGCACCGGGGCCGCCGCGCAGAGAGAGCCGTCGCCCTCCGCACGCGCTGGGCCCAGTCGAGCGGCATGCCCTGGTGGGTCGCCGCGTCCGTTGGAATTGGAGACGGGGGTGCCCGTCAGAGGAGGAATGCCCGGGTGTCGCCCCCTCCTCCTCCTCCGCCCTCCTCCTCCTCCTCCTCCGCCCTCCGCCCCCGCCTCCTCCTCCTCCTCCTCCTCCTCCTCCTCCTCCTCCTCCTCCTCCTCAGTACCCATACCTCTACCCTTCCCTCGTTTTCCCTTCATGTGCCTCGGAGACGGGGGTGCCAGTCGGAGGAGAAAAACCCAGACCCCCGACGTCATGATTTTTTCATGACGTCGACCCCCAGAGGTCTGGACCCATTCTCCAGGACCGGTTTCTCATCCTGAGTGGTTTTTTGACGGTCCCGAGGCCCTGTGAGGGCTCTCAGAGGCCGAAGATAGCGAAAAACCTCCCGTCATGATTTTTTCAGGACTCGAGGGGGTCTGGAAAGGTACCCATACCTCTACCCTTCCGGAAAAACGTACCCATGCGTCTGCCGTTCCCTCGTTTTCCCCTTTTTGGGGGAGGCCGGTCCTCGTGGCCACCGCTGGATTCGCCTCTAGATCTTGGTCAGAGCGCACCCTGTAAAAGGTCCGAGGAGTAGCAGTATCAGTACCTTTGGGTCTCCCCAGCCCGAGCACGTTCTGGACGTGGGGCTCGCAGAGCTCCATCCAGCCTGCCCACGCCGATCGCATCCACGTCCACGCCCTCGGTGTCTGGATCCGGGGGCGTGATGCCCTGGATACGCGGTGGCACGGAGACGTTCCGCGCAGGGCATCTTCGCAAAAACGTCCCGCATCCACGGGGTCCCATAGGGAGCTCCACCGACGGTCCCAGTGGCACAGTCCGCAGGCGTCTCCCCCGTCCATTACGGCGCACCCCTCGCACCGTTCGTGGCCCCTTAGGGGGAGCTCCACGCGGCTCTTGTGGCCCCAGAGCTCCACCCCGGGTCCCGGTGGCACAGTCCGCAGGCGTCTCCCCAGAGATCCGATGTCGTGATTTTTTGAATGCGGGCTCCCCAGAAGGCTCGACCCATTCCCCAGGACCGGCTTTCCATCCTGAGGCATTTCTTAACGGTCCCAGGGCCCGGTGAGGGCCCCTAGAGGCCGAAAACGGCGAAACACCTCCGTCTTGATGTTTCAAGACGTTGGATCTCTCGGCCCCCCGCACACTGCGCCACACCCCTCGCGCCGGTAACGTGGCCCCACCGGGAGCTCTCCGCCCCGTGCCACACAGCTTTGGAGTCCCGAAGCGGTGCGGTGACAGACCGTGCGGTGACCTCGGAAACCCAAGAGGCCTCACCGCACGGTCCGTCACCGCACAGTTTTGGGACCCTGGAGGCCCCTGTCGCCCGAGACGTCCTCGGAGAGGGACTCGAGCCCCAAAACAGTGCGGTGACCCCGAATCCCCACCGACTCGCCGCCACCCGAACAGCCGTGGTGACCCGTGGTCACCCCCCCGTTTGGGGCCCCCCGGACAGCCGCCCCGGCTCGAGAGGCCCTGCCCCGGCCGGCGCGGCGCACGCGCTCACGGGCCGTTCTGCCCGCCATGCCGTGCGCCGCGCCCCCGGCGCCGAGCGGGGCGCCCGCGCGGCTCGAGGCCGACGGCGGCGCTCCAGGCCTCCCGGGTGGGGTCGGAGCAGGCGGGGGCGGAGGAGCGCTCGGCATTGCCGATGCGTCGGCGATGCGTCTCGATGCGGAGCCCGACTTGCTTCGCGTCGACGTCGGCGATGCATCGGGGACGTCGACGATGCATCGCCGGTGCATCGCCGATGCATCGCCGATGCATCGTCGATGCATCGGCGATGCATCGGCGATGCGGCGCGATCCTCCGACCCCGTCTACTCCGACCCCATCTAGGAGGCATCTAGGCGCGGGGCTGACCTTCCTGGGCCAGAGCGGCGCCCCCATCCCCGCGGCCGTGCGGTGCCCCGACCTGCGGCGCCCTGACTCTTCCAGGACGGCGCCCCTGGCAGTGCCCTGAGAGCCTGGCGGCTCAATTTTTCTCTCCGAGCGGAGCGTTTTCGCAGCATTCATTTCGGGCCCCGGGGCCCTCACGTGTCGATCCGGCTCGAAAAATTGCGGGGAAAGGTGCGGTCTATAGGGCTCCAGGCGCGATTCCTCACGGCGTCTCATTTTTTGTGAGGCGCCGGATCTGAGGGTCCCGACCCTGTCCACGGGACCAGAGCTTCGTCCCGCGGGCCGTTTTTTTTTGACGGCCGGGGGCGCCCGGCGAGGGCCCGTGGGGGCCGAGGATCGAGGAACACCGCCCGCCCTGACTTTTGCACGACGCGCGCATGTCTGGGTGCAGGAGCCCCGCGGCCCGCGGCCCGCCCCTGGAGCTCCAGCCGGCGCTGCGGCAGCTGTCGGCCGAGCTGGGCGAGCTCCTGCGCGGCCAGCAGGCGGAGCTGCTCGCCCACCTCGACCGCTTCGCCCTCCGCTGCCGCGCCGAGGGCGAGGTCCCCCACGGGCAGGGGGAGGCCCCGGGCGCCGGGCCCGGGTGGGCGGCGGCTGCGGTCGAAGGCCCCCATCCCTTCGACGTGCCGTTGGATCCCTCTGGCGACAACCCGGACGGCTTTGGCTGCTTGAATAACGGGTGTCGGTCGACGCTGTCAAGGATGTCCGTGGCGGCGCAGTCGAAGACGTCGGCGCAGTCGAGGAGCACCGTGAGGAAGTTCTCGGAAAAGGCCGCCACACTGACCATGGATCAGATGCCTGAGGGGCGGAGGAGCCAGAACAGCGAGATCTCGATGGACGAGGTCATCATCAGGAAATCCACGGCTCCCGGCAGAATGATCGACAATGGCCTGCGCAGCAAAGTGCCGCCGTGGCTGAGGGCGGCGCGATCGACCGAAGGCTGGAGACCGGGCCTGCTGCGCATGACCAAGCACTGGGTGTACGAGATTGCCAACGCTGCTCTCATCCTCACCAACGCCTTGCTCACGGCGTGGGAGACGGAGTATAACGCACACCGCCTAGACGAACCCAGCATCCCTACGCACTTCGTCGTCTTCATGTTCGCCTTCTGCTTCATTTTCTCGGGAGACCTGGCCGCCCGCTTCATCGCGAAGGGCGTCGACATGTTCTACGAGAGAGACTGGAAATGGAACGTGCTGGACTTCTTCGTGGTGCTGGGCTCCTGCATGGAGGTCTTCGCATACCTGACGAGCAGCATGGAGGACTCCTGGCTGTCCAACGCCTCAGTGGTGCGGGTCGTGCGGCTCGTGCGCGTGGCGCGCATCGTTCGGGCTCTCCGCTCCTTCGTGTACTTCCGGGACGTCCGCATCACAGTTGCCATGCTTTGCGATGCTATGATCCCCCTTGCGACGTTCTCTTGCATCATGGGCGCTGTCTTCATGGTGTTTGGTATCTTTTTCACAGCTGGCGCTACCACCTACATGAGATTGAACGGCGAAGACGAGGCCCTGAGTCATTATTATGGCGGCTTGTTTAAGTCGATGGCAACTCTCTACATGTCAATCTCTGGCGGAATAAACTGGGAGAGCGCCGCTACACCCCTCTCGAAGTTGTCGCGATTCTACTCGGTGGTTTTTTACGGGTACTTGACTTTTTCAATTTTTGCTATGCTGAACGTAGTCAGCGCAATCTTC